TTTTATACAATATAACAGCAATATAAGCCAATGTTTATGCAATATACAGCAATAGGCTTTCGAACTTGTTCTATGTATGTATAGTTATTAAGGAACTTCAAAATGCACATTATACTAAATCCTTATGTATTGTAATGAAATGTTGCGTACTGTACAATATGTGTACCTATTTCTTTATAACGTCCAACTTGCACTAAGCCTGTTATTATAATGCTTTCTGATGGTAATGTGCGGGTTAATGTCAAATAACTTGAGTAAATATTGCACTTCAGTATACTTGTCACCAATGCCCTCTCGAACAATCCCTACTTTAAATGGCAAAACGAATACTTAAATTCTAACATCGGGATTCTTTTAATAATGCTTTCTTATTTGAGATGTATATGTATAATGCATCTTAAAAGTTATCAACACCATTATGTATACTGTCCATGTGCGTGTTTATTTTCTAGTTTAAGTTAAAGTAGTATGATAGGTCACTATCCTGATGTCCAACCCACTTACAATTTGATCCTGAAAAGTAAGCCATTTGAACAAAGAATTCCGATGTTAATTTCAGATGTTATTGTATTAAGGAAATGAATATGATGAATGCATAAATTCTATTACCGAATCCTAGTAAACTACTGGCGTATGATTATTAATGTGACACTAGAACAAGTAGTTACCTATGATACTAGTTGTAGTTATGATACTTTGTCTATTAACAGTAGTTTATATGATACTAATTAAGTACTTGCTTATGGTACTATATAAAATAGTTTAGAGCAAGTACGTAGTAAAACAATGGTGTATCTACTTGTAAGTATGGCCATTCATGTTATAGTAATAATCAGTTAACATTGAGAAGAAAGAGAGGAAAAGCTTCCTACATTTTGATGCTATTAGGATCAAATTACTTAAATTGTTAAGAATTGTTAGATAAATGAATAGTGATAATTAGATGTTAAGGAAATAGAAGTGAATTGTTAAGAATTTAATTAATAGGTTCTTACAAGTTTAGCTAAGGATTATTTGAATGTAGTTGTACATTCGTGAAAATAGTTGCTACCCATAAAACTGACAAATATTCTCAAAGCATCTGAAGTGTTTTAAGGTCTTTTTTTCTTCCTTTTCTTTGTGGGTTGAATTTATTATATATCCTTTTGAAAAGAGCTCAAGGGTTAGTTAGAAGAAATGTTGAGTTTATTGATATGAAATCAAAAATGATACTTAATTTGTTATTTTTATGACGAAGAACAAACCATACATTGGAAGTTCGATTGTTCGAAGTATATTTGCTATATAAATTCTTCTTGCTATTTTGGGAATGATTACAAAGTCACTTGAAAAATTATAAGAGACAAATTTATATTTATTTAGCCAGTTTCCGAGTCTGAGTCGAACTCGAAAACTGGCTAAATATGTATAAAATGCAAGTGGTTGAGGTATCGTGAAATTCGATATAATCTTTCAAAACTTTCTTGCCATCACAATAAACATCATGGGGCTTCAGATATCAAGGAGAAGAGTTGCAAATTATTGCTGGTGTCGACAGCATTTAGTGCTTAATGTTTTGTAAGCAGGGAAACGTATGTGATATTTCTGAAAATTTTGCACACTTATGTGTTTAAATTAGCTTTTAATTTTACCATGTTCTTGCAGTTTGCAAATTTTGGTTTATACTATTAGTTTTGGAAAGTTTAATTTGTTTTTCGGTGTTAGGTTAGGAGAAAATATGTAGTTTTCCTGAAAAGTTTTAAGCAAAAGTAGTAAACTTGGTTGTAAAGAAACTGACTGTCAGGCATAAACATAGGTATTATTTCTTTGCGCTGAATTTTAAAAATAATTGTTTAATGTAAAATATTAAGTTTGATTTTTTTTTTAATTTTCCAACGTTACAACTTTATTCTAATTGCGAATACAGTATTAAAGCTTGTTAACTGCGTGATTTCAAACCCTTAATTGCGTAAGACAAATCCTTGTAGAATAAATTTTATTTCAAGTGAAATTATATAAGACTTTTGACAGTATAACTATCAAAGTGCAACCCATTTTGCTACTTGGCTGTTTTTAAAAAATTATTAAACTATCAGTTTTATTAGTTTAGATTTGATTTCCCTATATACACGTCTTGTAATTTCATTGGAAGTCGTTAACCACGGTAATAAAATTGTTTCTGAATCATCGTGATAATGAGTTTCTTATCTCATTTGCGGCTCTGAAAAGCTTTGTTTCCGATGCCTGTAATTTAAGCAATAACCTTTGAAAACTGCCCAGTGTATATCTAGATCTGTGACGAATTGCTTCGGTAATTCTAGTTCGTTCAGATTTCATGTGTAGCTGCAGCCTCAGCATTTTCTGGAGATTCCGCATAGGCTGCCATAGCCATAAAAAAAAAGTTTTTACATAAAAATCAGATTTTGTTATTTGATGTCCTTTTTATCGTAAAACCAGAGCTAACAGGGATGTTGCGTGAAACCATCTACCATAAAGCCACTAAAGTCAAAAGTAACCCGTTAGTCTGATCGTCATGCGTCAGAATTTGCAGTGAGTATGAGCACTGTTGTTACTGAAATGCGGTGTGCACTGCGCACTCTGAAATGCATTAAGCGAGATAAAGGTAGAGAAGCGTATTGCTACGATTATTATAGTAGAACTGCTCTGAGAATCTGAAATGGTTGTCAATAAATAGGTGCCTGTTAGCTGTGGTTTTACGATAATAAGGACATCCAATAACAAAATCTGATTTTTGCACAAGTACACAAGGTTTGTATTCATGCTCTCAAACCTCTATCAGATTTACCCACAGATTTCTTTTCTTGATCATTTTGCTGCACAATAAAATGTATTTGTCGGCTGTTTGTAGTTTGAGAAGTTATCTTCCTGCGAAAAATAGCTACGTTTCTATTATAGGAGGCTCGCAATGAAATAAACTTGTAAGACTATCAGAGGACTAATATGTGAAATGGATACTGCTGTAATAGCATCATCAAAGTTTGCCTAAACTGAGAATCACTAGGAGTAGCGTATTCTGAAAAGTGACGGGGTGCTGCAAAAAGGTAGAATATTGAAAAATAACCTTATCGACCTAAGAATAAAAATACAAAAGCAAAAGTCCCTTTTGAGCATAAGCTACAGGACATTAAAGTTAAAAATAAAAGTCATCTTACATAGTATTTACATAAAATGTAAAACATTTCTTGAATATGTTTTGTTCTTTTGTAAATATATATATTTATTTATTTATAAATTGGTTTTTCTTTTCTTATCATGTGAACATTTTTATATAATACTATGATATGCTAAGAAGGACTATTTTAACCCCACAAAATAGTGTCTAAATTTTTGATCGCATTCGATTTCAAAGATTTCTTATAACATTCCGAAATATTTCCAATGTTCTTTTTATAGTATTATATTAACTCAAACCAGTATGCGTCATTTACAGTTTCTATAAGCCAATCTTCTATTGTTTGCTTGCTATTGGCAAAACTTTGTTGGATAATCTCATCAGCTACCACATTTTTGCTATTTTATAAGTATTGCTTCCTGCGTTTTCGTACTGTCAAGCATCTTATCACCTCGTAAGCTATTTTCCATCATGATCCCGTACCCTTATTTAGAGCTGCCCGTCACTGAAGAAAATACCTTAATTATTAGTGCTGTGTTATATTTGTAAATTTTGAAATTCATTTGACTTTTCTACTATAAAGGTAAATTTTGAATTAGTATATCAAAATACAAGTGTGCGCGTAGAAATCATTGTTTTGTTATATCAGCGCAGCACTAGAGAAAAATACTTTCAATAAATTAAAAAGAAAACAAACAAACAAAAAAAAATAATAAATAAATAAATAAATAAATAAATAAATAAATAAATAAATAAATAAAATAAAATCTGAAATGTTTCAGATTTTAAATTACGTCCAAAGGGGCGTTTTTTTTAACATTTTGTGTGTTACCTTTCTTTATTAAATATCATGTTCCTCGCACTTAAACCATAAGATCCAGTGCAACAGCAATATCGCAAAATAGTTTTAAAACGAGCATATCTTTAGAATTTCCGATACAGAGACTCACGCGCTGGAGATAAAAATGTTTTTCTGCACAACGTTGCCATTGCTCGCTTTGAAATCCTTGAGCTTGTTAATCAAAAATTCGTCAAAGTTTTAAAAATAGGAAATCGATCATAAAACAAATTTCAAATTTGGTCTTCCACATGCTCATATTCGTTGGAGGATTACGTTATTCAAAATTCGATGACTCTATGTACCTGTTATTTTATGACAATGTAAGAAATATACATACATTTACGCAGATTTTCATTATTTAATTTCTTCAAATATAATGCAGGACTCTAACATTTTATGGCAACAGTTTGAAAAGTGAACCGACATTTATGAGTCCGACGCAAAATGCCAAAACGAAACTAATAGTTCTTCGGGATTCAAATCCCTTTGGACTAAAAAAAGAAGACGAAACCCAAACTATTGAGAAAAACTTTCTTTTTTATCCAGGAGCGTAATATATTGTGTTAGAAGCATGTTTCATTTATTACGATTCTACAAATGTTCATAATTATGAGCTAGATATGTTGCAAATAAAACATATTTTAAATAATATCTATTAGATATCTTATTTTAAAATGAAAATATATTTTAATTATTAAGAAGTGCGTTTTCAATTGCTCATTTTGTTTTGATAAAATTTGAAATATAAATTAAAGACATTACGTCATGTCACATTGCGACTTTCTAGAAATTGGCTGTTCATTAGGCCTATTTAAAATAAATTTATTATCTTTCATCTCGTGCATTTAAAGTAAATGTTAAATGGCATAGTATCATAGCTTAACATAAGATTCAAAATTTTGAAAAGCCTTTTTCTAAGGATGTTTCTATTTTTCTGTAAATGCTGTGTGCCCCCCTTGAAAATTTTGTGTACATCATCCGTTATTACTTCTAGGGTTCATAAATTGATAAAAATCATTTCAAATTGTCATTAAACTTCTATTTCAGGTTCACCGTTTCAACCAAAACGTGAAAGAGATGCATCCGAATATTTTCTCGGAAAATCCATCACCTCCTCCTTTAGATTCTGTATGATACTGGATCTTCAGGAATTAAAGGGTGTCTCGAGGGAAAGCTGTATATTTATTTTGGATAGTCCCTCAGCTGCGGCTCGCTTGACACAATGGCGAGTAAGTTTTATTCTTTTTATGTTTATTATGTGGCTTTAATTGTATTAAAATGTTATGGAAAATTACATCTGTTAATTCTTTACTAATCCGTATTTATTAAAACGTACGGTTGATTCATATCTTAATCCACATTTTAATATCTGGATTTAATAAATTAAATCTGATATCATAATTCCAATTTTAAGCACAAGTCAACCTGACCACTCGGTGTTTAATAAACCATTTTATTTCTTTTTAAGTTTAAAAATGCATTCGGTTTTCGATAGAAAATTTAATTTAAATTATATTCAGCAGTTTGTGAAATTAGTGTTTAAGAAACAATTTAGTAGCTTGTTTTGCAGTGAGGGAAACAATTCTTTAACTTCTTAAAATTAAAGAAAAAAGATGAGTAATTAATGCAGAAATTTTTAAAATGTATATCAAAACTTTTTTTTTTTACTGAATACCTAAATCTTGCGACTAAAGTTAACAAAAATTTCTAAATTTTTTATAGTCTGTTTTATAATCAAAATAATACCGATTTTCCTTCTCAAATTCAGGGTATAATTAACAGTGAACCCTCTCTAAGACGACCATCCAAGGTTCAGTATGATTTTGGTCTTCAGTGGAAGGGGCCGTCTTAGGCAGGTAATATATAATACCAATATTTGTTTCGAAAACATGCAGTTCATGCATTTAAAGTTTATGCATTCTTATATGCTGAGCACTTTTAAAAGTGATCCTGTTGGGAGGTGGTAGCCACGAGAGGGTTCACTTTATTATTTACTTTCAAGCGTAAATGCTGTAAGGAATTTAATATATCCACACATATGAGTCTATACTGCAATGATTTGCAAATCAGTTCGGCACACCGAAAACGCATCCCATCTAGGACTTATTAAAAAAAATTCCTGATTGGGATTTGTTTTGAAACTGAAGTAAAATCATGAGATAAAGCATCTGGAAAGCGATGTTTACATATTTAAATAAAAGATTAAGAGAATTTAGTCACGATGGGAAATACTTTTCCTTTAGGCTGAAGGCACTGAACGGGTATATAAGAACATATTGCTAACATAACATGTCTGTAAGCGTGAGTATAAAACTATAATTAAATAAAATTTTGATGTAAATGCCCGCTTGTCATCAGATTTTAAAATTTTCCTTTAGCGTCACCATATAATTTCACAACCATTAATTAAACATAGTTGCTCCGATGTTATAAAGTTGTGATACTTGCTGAAAATGTTCACTGCATAGTGACAAAAATTTGAGATTCCAAATATGCCATCTCTTGCGACAAAAAATTCTACCTTTTATGTATATATTTAATACTTTTTTTTACTGATTATTGTCATTTGGTATTTGATACTGATGCTGAACTTAATCGATATATTTGTATTATTTAGTTCAGTGGTCTCAAAGCGGCACCTGAAGCAATTTTATGGGGCCCGCAAAGGCATTTCAATTATGTATTTGTTGCAAATACTTTCTAGCAAAGATTTCAAACTATTTTCGCATTTATATTATTTTTATTTCAGTTAAAAGCGAACACGAATAGTGTACCAGAAACATAATACATGATATAAATCTTATTCATAGATTAGAAGATACAGATTTTATTAATTTTATTCGTACTTATCCAAAAAAAAAATAAATCATCTGAGTTACGAAATTTTTTACCAGAAATAATAGCTTTGTTGGGGAATACATTTGTATGTGAACAGATTTTTTTCACAAGTGTACCAGAAACATAATACATGATATAAATCTTATTCATAGATTAGAAGATACAGATTTTATTAATGTTATTCGTACTTATCCAAAAAAAATAAATCATCTGAGTTACGAAATTTTTTACCAGAAATAATAGCTTTGTTGGGGAATACATTTGTATGTGAACAGATTTTTTTCACAGTTGAAAATTAAAAGGAAAGCTACCCAATTAACCGATGAGCATCTATAATCAATCCTTCATGAAGTTAATTCTTAGTAATTTCTCTCTAAGGCACTTTGTCAGAATCAAAATGCCATCAAGTGTCAAACTAAAAGAAATGAAGGAGTTTATAATTATTTACATGCAAACATGTCTATTTTTATTTATGCGTCGAAAAAAAATTATTAAATAAGGTAAAGGGTCTAAACTGTTGTTATTTATCCTTAAGTTTTGCCCAATCTGATAAATTTTTTCTGAAAACTTAGGAAGTTTTTTTAATTTGTTTAATTTTAGTTATGTTACTTTAAGTTGTTTAATGACTAATTGAATTTATTAGAACTATTTAAAAGTCATGTTACTCTAAGAACTTAACTATCGGTATGTTTGAATATATGTTTATGTCAGTATGTATGTTTGAATTACAAAGTGTAAGCAACAAAAATGTCTTATCGGTACCAAACATTAGATTTCAGATAAAAAATAAATTGAATTTTTCTTATAAGGTATCATTATTATTGTTTATCTATGTTTTGATAAATATTTAGTGAGAGAAATTTTAAAAAATATTCAAAATATTTTTTTTATTTTGTTAATAAAATTTTTCATTTCTTAAAAAAAAAATGTTTTTTTCGTCCGTCAACTGTTTTTAGATCGAGCGTGTTTTCCGCATACATTTTGAGTTTAAGATCGCTGATTCATTTCTTTCATATTCCGGTTTTTGTCATGTGGTACCTTTAAGTAAAAATATACGAAACTTAAATTTAGGCAGGTCTCGCAAGTGAAAAGAGAATTCATTTCAGAATGTATCATGGAAGTAAATAAACGAAAGGTCCACTTTCATACGATTAAAATTTTTATATATCGTAAGCAAAAGCTGCTAAAGAGAGTTACAGATATTAAGTCTTTGAATACAAAATTTTTTGAAGATATCTTTCACGATAGAGTATATTCCTTTAGAAATATTCGTAACAAATTACTATTTACAGAAATGTAAAATTCAAAATTTTGTATTAAAAAATTCATTTTTAAATTCCGCTAAATTCGACACGTTTTCGTAAACTGAAAGTGCTTAGCATTTAACTTCGAAAGAATATTTTTTTTTTTTTTTTTTTTTTTTTTTTTTGTACCAGTTTTGAATGTTAAAGACAGCTCCCTTTGCCGCTAGCTTTGAAATATCTTTAGAACAACGAGAAGCCATTTGCGAAATGGAAATTTTTCTGTATAGTGCCCATATAAAAATTTAACTTTCGTATGCTTTTTCAAAACCTTTTAGCACAAGAATTATAGACCTCCTTTATTTAACTTAGTTCCAAAATTAAAATTAAGAACTTTTCTTAAAGCTCCTCAATGTATTCAAGATAGCTTCTCAAAGTATGAGTATGAGAACATCAAATATGTCATATATGTCAAATAAAGTGCATTTTTTGAGGATGTTTCAGAAGAAACAGAGTTTTTCATATGCACGGTCGAACTTCGTTATCGGGCTAAATAGTTAGTAAATCCCCGAATCTTAGAAACAGAAGATCAGTGCTTTATTATTTACGGACGCTTCTTGTTACAGAGTTGCCACGCTACCTGGAAAACCGGGAGAACCGGAAAAAGTCAGGGAATTCGAAAATTGACCAAAAAATTCAGGGAAAAGTCAGGGAATTTAAGTATTTTTGTCAAAATCTGGAAAAGTCAGGGAAGTTCATACAATGATCCCGCCAAAAAAACCGATTTTTGCGCCGATGTAGGAAGAGATAACTTTTTTGGCGAATTGTGTATCACGTGAGTGTCATTCGGGCAGCTGGTTAGAATAATCTCCATGTATGGTACAATGGGATTTGGCGATATGATGATGCGCAGTAAACCTGTCATTTTGGTCTTGGCGACAATTCTCAAAATCGTGCCGAAGCCTTACCTTATACTAGAATTTTACCGCAAAATCTTTTTAAACTTTTTTTTCTTTTTAATAAATACCTTGCCATTTTGCAGTAAAATAAAAAATAGTAATATGTCATCTAGGCTAACCATGTAATATAACTATATTCGCTAAAATATCGTTGATTATTCTAATTCAATTTTTAAGTAATTATCTTTATTTTTATGTTATTCGTATAATTTAATGATGCTTCTTCCCTCTAAATTTATTTATTATTAGTAAATAATATTTTCAAATTTCAGGAAATTTTCTCTGGCATAATCTTGAAATTAATTCCAGCAGTATGATGAACATACCATCACGAAATTTAATGCACATATTTTTTCCTTATGTATGCTGCGAAATAAATATAAAATACCTCAATTTATTAAAATAGATTTCTTTCTTTCGTTTAGCTGCAGAATGTGTGCAAAAAAAGCCTTATTTTATTCCAGATTGGGAAGATTCTAATCTCAATCTTCAATGGAGAAAACAACAATTATTATAATTATATTTGTGTTTTCAAGTGTTAAGGTGCTTTTTAAGAACATAACCTCACACAAATTAAATTTACCTAAAATCTAACCTAACTATTTAGCATTGCGTTGTGATTTATAAGGACCGGATTAGCCTCGTGTTGAACTGGTGATGATCATGAGTAATAATTAAATAAAACATACTTTGTTATCCAATGTATATATCTTAAATTTTATTAAGTTTCTTAAGTGGAAAAGTAAACAAAATTATCAAACAAAGTATACCAAGAATAATTAAGAATAAATGTCCTCTGGGATTTATTGAATAATTAAGTGAATTTGCTACACAATACAAGTAATACCATAATTAATTTACCTCTTAGCGCAGCCAACGTACATTACGCGGATAGACTGGAATTTTCTTGAAACACACCTGGAAAACCTAGAAAAGTCAGGGAATTTCATTCTCCTGTTTAAGTGGCAACCCTGTTGTTAGCAAATAAATTATCGCCGCAAATGTCCATTAACGAGAAATTCGACTAGATATTGAAGGGGGGGAATCAAGAAATAGTTATTTAAATGTTGCCGTACTGTATGGAAATTAAATACTGGTTGAAGTTTTGTTTGAAGATTACTGTCTTTCCACAGATGATTATGAATTTATAATTATGAAACAAATGTACTTACAGATGCTTTCATGAATACTACTTATTTAAATGTTAAATGTTATTGTAGTCAATCCATTTGTTTGCAATAGCTCAGTAGATGAAAAACAAATGAGAAATCGTCAAAAATCAATTAATTGTATCAGAAATTCCGTAAAATTTATTTTGCCATAATTCATTTGAAAGTTAAACATCAATAAGTTAAACTAAGAAAGTTAACATCAAACTCTATTCAATTTGAAAACGATTTTGTAGGATATTATATTATCATTGGAAATACATGTTCCGAAAAATTTCAATCATTGGAAAGGGTAATGTCAATTTCAAAATTTAACGCAAATTTTATTTTGCTAGCTTTTCTCTTTTCGAGGCCAATGTTGTATAAAAAATAAATTTTGTATTCTTTTACGAAAAGGAGTCATGAATTACAATTACCATAATCTGAAAAGTACCTTATTTGATCTATCTTAAAATGGAACTACTAGGGTAGGTAATCGTTCAAGAAATATTCAGTCTTGCAGGCATTTTTAAACGCCCTGAATATTTTTGATAGTGGATTATCTACTGTTCTCTAGTATTTTCAACGGGCAGCTACGTCAAGCTTGTGCATGTCTCGAGCTCCACTTACATTTCGAAAATAGAAAGGGAAGAAGCATCTACGGATCCAA